TGTGTGTGTGTGTGTGTGTGTGTGTGAGTGTGTGTGTGAATGTGAATGTGAGTGTGAGTGTGTGTGTGTGTGTGTGTGTGTGTGAGTGTGTGTGTGAATGTGAATGTGAGTGTGAGTGTGTGTGTGTGTGTGTGTGTGTGTGAGTGTGTGTGTGAATGTGAATGTGAGTGTGAGTGTGTGTGTGTGTGTGTGTGTGTGTGAGTGTGTGTGTGAATGTGAATGTGAGTGTGAGTGTGTGTGTGTGTGTGTGTGTGTGTGAGTGTGTGTGTGAATGTGAATGTGAGTGTGAGTGTGTGTGTGTGTGTGTGTGTGTGTGAGTGAGTGAGTGTGTTTGTGTGTGTGTGTGTGTGTGTGTGTGTGTGTGAGTGTCTGTGTGTTTGTTTTTGTGTGTGTGTGTGTTCTTCAGCATATGTATTAACAGTGAGTCAGGCTGGCGTCCATCTGCGCTCAGTGAATGATGAAGGAAAGCGGTCTCTGAGTGTTTTCTGGTTTAGTTCTCGCTGCTGGAGCCGCTGTGAGTCTGTTGGACTCTGGTGCTGGTAAAGCACGTGTGGTTTCCTGTTTTCTGCACGTCGCGTCTCATCTCCTTATTTCTCGCAGAGTCAGTATAGTTTGCTCTTGCTATCACACACAACTGCATTACTCTGACATTATAAGAGGCGTCCGAGTGCCTGTGTGATAGAGAATCAGTGCAGAGACACACAGAGAGTCTGAGAACATGAATATCTCTGAATATCTGAGATTCAAAACCACATTTAAAACTGGAAATAAATTTGTTTTGTTTTATTAAGAACATTTTAATAACCTAAATGATCTTTTTCTATTATAAAGAACCTTTTGTGCATTTGAAAGGTTCCATGGATGTTAAAGGCTCTTCATGGAACCATCAATGCCAATAAGGAACCTTCATTTTTCAAGTAACTGAATCATTGCACAATTTACAGCAGATGAGATGATGCAACTCAGGTTGCTATGTTGCTAAAATAATTTGTAATGAAAACAATTAACAAGAGATGCATAAAAGCATTTTCTCTTGTGGTCTCAGACGTTTGGAGCCTGTGCTACATTAAGGGTCATTTAGCATTCTGCTTTATAGTGAGGATTATCAGAGCATGCTGGAGATTATCAGTTAACCCACCGTTAATTCCATAGGTGTAATGGTTTTTCTACTGTACAAACTGTATTTTCTTACCCTAAACCTACCCCTCACACAAAACTACAGGCATTTTAGATTCTCAAAACATTGTAAAGTTGTCATCTAAGGTATATGGGATGGCAGGTTTCTTTGTTTGTTTGATTTGTTTTACCTTTATTTCATGAGATGCTTTCTTCCTGCATTTTATTAATCTCTGACATTATGTATAGGCTTATAGTTTTTTTCTTACATATATTTATATATATGTATAAACACAACACATGTATATGTTCTCTTATTATTTCTGTTACTCCTTTTTTATGTATGTGTTTCTGTTTTTCCTTTGTATTTCTGTTTTATATTTGTTATCAGTCCACACTGAATTAAGTCAATGAAAATGTGTTATTGTCGTTGCTGGTAAATGTGTTCGCAGCAAAAGCATTATAAAGTGTTAATCACAAAAAAAAAAAAATTTTCACAACATTCTGTGTGATATATGCACTGTTTTTCTCATGGGGAACAAAAATGTCCCCACAAGGTCAAGGATGGATATTGCCATCTTTTTGGGAACATTTGGTCCCTATAATGTAGGAAATAAAAGTCACACACACACACACTGAATGTTTGTGTTAAAAGCCTTTCTGTGTTGCAAGCGTACAGCACACAGTCTCTCAGTCCATCAGCCATCAGTTCACACGCCACAAATATCAGCGCTGCATTAATACCCGCGTTATTAATGCAACTGATGGAAGAGATGTCATGTTCAAACACTCGGCGGAAGCTCAGTGAGGTTCATCAGTTCTTGTTAAGTGAAGATGGACTAGATAATGGATTCTTGCTCATTATCGGATTATTGTTGTAAATCACTTTTATTGTCAGACGTAAAATATAAAAGCCCCCCTGAGTTTTAAATTTAATATTTCAATATAGTACATTTTAAAAAAAATTTAATAAATTATTTCATATTTTTAGTCAGTATTATTTTAATTTAATTTCTTAAAATAATATAATTAATTATTAACTTTTCATCAACTCTGCCCTGCAACTACACAATGTGTTTTGTCTAGAAATATGTTTGGTCAGAGGGCAATTTAATTTAGAACTGATAATGGACCAATATATTGGCCAAACTAATTAATTGTCCATTTTGAGCATTAATGACCATGTCTGCCTTGTCAACAGAAGTGTTTGTTAAGCCTTGTGTCAGTTTTAAAATCTACCAACAAACTTCTTAATAGATAAACGATTACTTGTTTTTGTTTTTTAAATCTGAGTGAATTTGAAGTAGACATTGCATTAATGTCCATAGTTTTTTATGAGCTGTGTTTCAATTAAATTGTATGCTGCTTTCTTAAAGGAACAGTTCGGCCAAAATTGCAAATTTGCTGAAAATGTGCTCACCCTCAGGCCACCCTAGATGTAGATGAGTTTGTTTCTGCATCAGATTTGGAGAAATGTAGCATTGCATCAGTGTCTCAGCAATGGATGCTCTGCAGTGAATGGGTGCCGTCAGAATGAGAGTCCAAACAGCTGATAAAAACATCACAATAATCCACAAGTAATCCACAGCACTCCAGTCCATCAGTTAACATCTG